TTCTTATGAAAAATAATATTTAGGAGGTTTCTAGCATGTTGTATGAATATTAATGCAACATCACGCGCAAGGTCTTTGGGATGTTAATGGACATCACAACGTGAGACGAAAGACGCACAATGTATCATGTCAGGTCGGAAGACAATCCTGCTGATCTTTTATCTAGAGGAGTGCATCCTGAAAAACTGAAAAATCAAAAAATTTGTGGGAATTTCCACAATTTTTACATCAAAATTTAGCATTTGTGCCATTCAGCAACGAAAACCTTCAAGAAGATATAATAGAAAAACGAACTATAAATTTATTTGTTCATGGTGAAAAGGAAAATAGTTATTTAGACATTATCAAAAGATTTTCGTCATTGTCGCGATTAAAGCGAGTGGTCGCGTATTGTTTACGTTTCAGAAATAATGATAAGAAACATACTTTACCAAAATCGAAGATGATAACTGTAGAAGAATTAGATCATGCCATGAAGATACTCATCAGTGGCTGTCAAGGCCATAGTTTTGCACAAGAGTTGCATAGTCTTCGTGTGCAATCGCAATTGCATTCAAAAAGCAAAATAATTGCACTGCATCCATTCTTGGATGAGGATGGTATCATTCGTGTGGGTGGAAGGCTTTGCAATGCATCCATAGAATATTCACAGAAATACCCCATCATTTTACCAAACAAACATCATCTCACTAAATTGATAATTAGGGATATACACTATAAAAATCTACATGCGGGACCACAAACTGTTTTGGCGATGATGCGTAACAATTATTGGCCAATTTCGGGCAGAGGGGCAATACGTCGCGTATTTCGATCTTGCATAGTATGTTTTCGTTCAAAACCGATAACTGCAAAGCAATTAATGGGCAATTTGCCGGCAGTACGAGTAACTCAACAGTCGCGGGCGTTTTTATATACAGGTGTGGATTATGCAGATATTTAGCAGAACAGTTTATTAGCTCGAAGTTTATTCCTCCGTATTCACCTCACATAGGCGGATTGTGGGAAGCAGCCGTGAAGTCGGCAAAAATTCTCATGCGAAAAATTATCGGCACAACGCCGTTGAGCTTCGAGGAACTATATGTATGTGTGTGGGCGTGTGTGTGTGTGTGCGCGCGCGCGCGTGTGCGTGTGTGTGTACACACGTGTACAAAAAAATAAATGGCGCGCGCGTAGCGCGCGCTGCGTGCTAGTCCTCTATAAAAAAAGTCATTTGTACCGAGAAGTGTGCGTTTTGAGTCGATATGTATCGCACGTATTGTTGCCATTTTACCGCGTGTCTGATTGGTTGTCGAGTTGCGCGGCGAGCTTGTTGTATTTACGCTTGCTTCACTCGTGTCGTTTGACAGTTTGACAGTTTATGTCTTTTGACAGTTTGACAGTTAAAGAAAATAGAGTTAAAGAAAACAAAGTTAAATATATTTAATTAATATAGAGAGAAAAAGGAAGAAGAAAAGACGAATAAAAGAGAAAGAGAAAGAGAGAGAGAGAGGGAGAGAGAGAGAGAGAGAGAGGGAGAGAGAAAGAGCAATGGCAAAAAAAGGAAAGTGTATTTTAAATTACAGAAGAGGAAGAATAAGCAAAAAAGAGAGAGAGAGAGAGAAAGAGTTAAAATTGAAGAAGAAGATGTATAAGCAAAAGAGTGGAGGAAGAGAGAAATAGATAGAAGGAAAAAAAAAGAAGAATATATATATTATCAGGTAATAATATTGTTTAGTATTATTAAATATATTGTTAAATATTATTAAGAAATATTATTAAAAATTATTATTATTATCTATTTTATTTAATTTTAAGACAGAGAGAGAAAGAGAGAAAGAAAGAGCGAAGGCAAAAGAGGATAGTTTATTTAAAATTAAAGAAGAGGAAGAACAAGCAAAAGAGAGAGAGAGAGAGTGAGAAAGAGAGAAAGAAAGAGTTAAAATAAAAAAAAAAGTATAAGCAAGAGGACTGAGGAGGGGGAGAGAGCTGTTGAGGGAGAGTGAGAGGATAGAGAGAGAGAGAGCGAGAGAGGGAGGTGGGAAAGAGAGAGAGAGAGACAAAGAGAGACCGGAGGAAGAAAAAAGGAGGAAGAATATGATATTAGGTAATAATATTTATGATATTAGTCAGTTATATTGGTTTATTGGTTGACGTATATGATTTTGTGCATATATCATTAAAAATGTTTAAATGGAAAAAAATTTCGACAAAACTGAAATTTGTAAATTACAATTTAAATTTCTATAAAGATAAGTGTATTAAAAAGTAAAGATATTAACATAAAAAATTAGGATCATTAAATAAGTTTCGTCTATAAAAAAAGTTATTTGTACCGAGAAGTGTGCGTTTTGAGTCAATATGTATCGCACGTATTGTTGCCATTTTACCGCGTGTCTGATTGGTTGTCGAGTTGCGCGGCAAGCTTGTTGTATTTACGCTTGCTTCACTCGTGTCGTTTGACAGTTTGACAGTTTGACAGTTAAAAAATATTACTAAAAATTATTAATTTTATCTAATTTATTTAATTTTAAGAGAGTGAGAGAAAGAGAGAAAGAAAGAGTGAAGGCAACAAAAGGATAGTTTATTTAAAATTAAAGAAGAGGAAGAACAAGCAAGAGAGAGAGAGAGGGAGAGAGAGAAAGAGTTAAAATAAAATAAGAAAAAGTATAAGCAAGAAAGAGGGACAGAGACAAAAGGAAAAAATTTACCTTATTTTTATATAATCGTTATAGATTATACATTTAAGTTATAGATTATACATTTTTAGAAATATATAAACTCATTTAAGAAACACTTAATTAACTTTATTATAACAAAAAGATAACACGATAAACATTAAAAGATAAACACTTTAAA